GTTAGAGTGATGCGTGTGGGATATCCAGGGTGATCCAGTGCATGTGAACAGTGAGATGTTTGGGCGCTGAAGTCGCCATAGCCATTTGAGAGTGAACTCGTATCTGAAGCCATATCTCTGAGTTTTGAGTGGGCGCATGTCGCGAGTGTGCTGCGTACTGTTTACATGTGTGAAAAGTGGGTTTGAAAGCGAGTCTGATTGCAAATCCTTCTCTGAGAGAAGCAATCAATGCCATTGGCCCACTCTGCACAGGCAGGCTAAGTTAGCTCGAGCAAGATGTCTTGCTCCCTGCACAGGTATAGCTTTGTTGTTGTTGTTGTTGTTGTTGTTGTTGCTGTTGCTGTTTTTAGAAGGCTTGATTTCATTTTTATATGGGCAAAAGGAGGCCGGGAATCCCTCCACATCTCAACCCGGAGTACTGGGTCCAATACCCAGCTTGGGCTTTTACTGGAAAAGGGGCCGAGTGTCCCATGCTTCGGGGATCTCCCCTAGCTAATCCACCACCAGATTTTAGAAGAAGGTCCCGCGATATTACAGCCAACGAAAGGGGTATAGCTTTGTTTTTGTTTTAAAACCCGTCTCTTTTTTGTGAGCTAAGCTATATTCTTCTCTCAATTCCCCCTTTCACTACCTACCTACCACTACTCCTAAGCCTGTACAGGGGACCACTGCAAGCATAGCTAGCTCTCACAATTACGGGGGACCGCTGCAAGCATAGGTACCTCTCTCAATTTCACCTTTCACTACCTACCTACCACTACTCCTAAGCCTATACAGGGGACCGCTGGATTGGACCCACTTTCCATATGTTGTTATAGTAAAGGTTAAGGTAAAAGAAAAAAGAAGACTTGCACCGTGTAGTTTTCTGCACCTGAATCTGATTTCTGTTTGCATCATGTCTTTTGGGGACAGGAGGGTGCGGGGTTGTCTGGAATATACAGCCCAGGGGGAACATCATTGTACCTTTAGGTGAGAGTGAAGTTATGTCAGTTGTGTAATGAACGTTATGTGCCAAATGAGCATAAATGACTGTGCACCTGATGGTGTCCTCATAAACCATTCTGTGTTTGCAGAGCACTGTATCGTGATCGTAGGCGGCGAAGCATCTTGTTTGATGACGAGCATTCCATCCCAGTTTTTGTGCGGCGAAAGGACATCCTCAAGCAGCAAAATGGTGGAAATCTTCGCTCGGCGGGCCTCAGAGTGGGTGTGACAAAAGTAGTTGATTCAGAACGGCTTTGCACAGGTGCTGGAATAGAAAATACCTTTGAAGCAGATGACGATGATGATGTCAAGTGGAAAAAGTTACTCAGGGGCCATCGGAGCAAGAGCGCATCCTTTGCCGGTTTGTTCCGCTGCATTGCTTAATATGCATTTTTTGGGGAAGCTCTCTCTCTCTCTCTCTCTCTCTCTCTCTCTCTCTCTCTCTCTCTCTCTCTCTCTCTCTCTCTCTCNTCTCTCTCTCTCTCTCTCTCTCTCTCTCTCTCTCTCTCTCTCTCTCTCTCTCTCTCTCCTCCTCCCTCCCTCTCTCTCTCTGTGGTCATGTCTGTATTGGATCAACTTTCTCATGCTTGGTATTGCTTGTTGCTCTGCTGCCATACTCCGAGTTATGCCACTTCTGGTACCGGACGGGTAACCCAGGAAAAGTGGTAATCTCTGCATCCGCTAGTCATTTCTGAAGGAAACTTCCCTTGATGTCAGGCTCCTCATCTGGATTCCTCAGTGGACTCTTCCACACGCTTCAATTTGCAATCTATTTCACATCTTCTCTGCCATTATGTGTCCCGCCCAAGATGATGCTGCATTGCTGTTTTCAATAACTCAGAGGGGTAATCCTAACCACGTTCTTTTGGGCTTGCAAATTTCGGGTGCAAGCTTAAAGGATAGTAAGAGCTGGAGATGATGTTCTGGGAGAGAGGAGAACAGGAGACGGGACTGTAGGGATCTTGCCTTCGATAAGTACCACATAGCGTCCTTGCAGAGAATGAGGCAGTGGACTCTCGTCTTGTAGATTGTCTGAGCAAACTTAACAGAGGTCGTAACTGTTACGGTCTGTGTTTTTCTGTCTGCATGCACCCATTGGCTCACCGGTTGTTCTACATCTGTAATGAGCCATTGCAGACTCCTAATTTTTACAGGGCTAATTGACAGGTATTGTACCAAACTTTCTCTTGGTATTTCGTTAGATAGGTCTTGTTCGTAAGCAAGGACTCTGGTCCATCTTGTTTCATCCCTGGCATCCAGTCCTGTGTCTACAGGAACAGTCTGTAACCCGGTTTGACTGAGGCTTTTCTTTTCTTTTTTCCCAGATTTTCCTTTTAAAGACAAAGCTTCTGTTTATTAATAAAACTGACAGCCGGCTTTACTGCCCTTCACATCAGATACACAGACCATGCTTCCCTTCATTATGGTCAACAAGGAACCCTGCACCTGCGGCATTGATGCCGTGGGTTAAGTCCTGAGACAGATCCACAATCCAATGAACTTCGTGTTGAATCGGTTATTGATATGGCAGGCATCCAAGCTGCAGCAGAATGGTACAGTGAGCATTTGGAAGCGAGGATCCCCATTGTGGTCGTCTCTGATGTCTTGTCCACGGATGGATGTGGAATTGCCACACCCCTTAATTTCTGCAGCCCTGCAGAAACGAATGAAGGAAGCCTCACCACCATTCAAGTAAGCTTTTCTCTGCTACCTTATGGTCTCTTCTCGTCCAATTTCTCTGGTTTTTGCTTGTTCACTACCTCTCTTCCTCCCTGTTAGCAATCTGCCGCCTCCCTTTCTTCCTCTCCTTCTGCATGGACCTTATGTCAGCACACTTTGCTTCTCCTTTTTCTTTTCCCCAGTACAGTGCACAGTGCACACTCTCCTTTGAATAACTGGCACACGCTTGGATTTCTGTGTGCACTGAATACGCGTATCTGCATAGAATTTTTTTTTTTTTTTTTTTTTTAAACACACAACAACACAGCCCCTTCTGTTCTGGAGGACACTTGTCCGGTTGCTCATTAACGGCAAGCATGCGAAAAGTGGAATTAAGTAGTAGTAGGCCTCTTGGATTTCTTCAGAGTCCAGACGATAGAGTATAGTACTCAGTATACACATCATCTTACATGACCAATTGACCAAATCCTCTTCTTTGGCGATCCTGGTGTGCTTGCAGATCCTCAGCAGTGCTGAGTACATCCAGAGATGGTGGGCAGGGGATGCATCTGTGGCAGAACTCTATGATTCACTGGTACGGGGATTACGAATGAATGAAGTCTAACTTAGCAATGAAACTGGATAATTTGGTTTCCTGAACTTTCCTCAATTTTCTTGTGAGAATTTTGTAATTTATGTTTGGTGATTGTGAAAGGTGTCCAAGTCAATGATAAATGGATCTCCTGATTCTCTTCAGTTTATTGTGAATTCGTATTCTTAATACTAGTTGATAATTCTTTATTCATTTAAGACCAGTGCTGGGCCGGCAACCGGCCGGTTGAGCTACCCGGTCCAACCGAAGCCGGACCAGCCCAGGGGGGGTAAACCGGGAAACCGGTTTTGAAAAAAAAGTGCCCAAATATCGTTTTTTTTTTTTTGTTTTGTTTTTTTCTTGTGTTTTTGTTTCCTGCAGATTCTGACTGCGCTCGTCGAGAGCTGTCGGAATCCGCAATAAAATTTTGAAGGTGCAATATTTTTCAGGGGGCTTCCGGAGGGGGGCACGGGGTTATTGTTGACATATATTATTCAGGGAATTATGGCTTCCACGGGGAGGTGTCGAGTAGGCAAGTTCACTTATCTGAGCCCCCTGTGGCTGGAGCACTTCATGGAGTGGGTCATCTGATATTGATACCCACGAGCTGAACCAGATATGATGAGAGGAGGTCCTTGCCAGAACTTATAGCTCTTCCAGAGTATAGCTCGACAGCAGAAGAGTTATGGGTTCAGCTTTCAGCTCGTGGAGGTAGAGCGTTTTCTGTTTGTTCTTTTCTACATAAGGTGAGTTATCAGTCTGGAAGTATCTTGGCTGCCAGTCTGTCCAGATACATGTGGTGGAGCAAGGTCCATTCGAGATAGATAGAGAGAAGAATATAGTTCTGACATCACGATTCTGAAATCCGAACCGATAACTTTTTCCACAGATGGCAGGGACGTTGCAGACAGATATAATATCAGCAGAGCCTCATCACAAGCATAGTGTTCCCCTCGTGGCTGAGGGTGAAAGAGCATCAGATGTTGCCAATGGTAACTGGTCCGTTGGGCCACAAGATGACAAATTGGAGAAGGGGCCTACCCAACCCACATCTTAAGAAAAATGTGTGGCGGTTCTCCGCTGCTTATCTGCAATGATCAGCGGCGGATATCGTCCGCCCATTTTTATCAAGAAGTGCGTGCCTTAGTTTGCCGCCATTTGCAGCTAATTTCTGTTTTCATAAGTCTCCAGTTGAAGCCCTGACCCTCCCTGGAATTCCTTGTGTCGTCCGAAGTAATACTGCATCTTCTTTCCATATTGTCCGTAGCATGTCTTCCCTGACCATGCCATGCCACAACCGTTTGGGTCTTGCTCAAGTGGTTGGAGGGAAAAGTTGAAGAAATGGGTGCTCGGGGAAAGGAGATGGAAATAGGTTAGCTCTCGCCCAGTATTCTGTCCCTTCCTTGCATCTGATAAGGCAGTGGGTGGATACTATTTTTTCTGTCGCTTCCTTGCATCTGATCAGGCAGTGGATAATATTTTTGCTTGGTCAGTCTGAGAAGACAATGTATACACAGTCTGTACTGTTCAGAGCACTGTCCTTTCTCCTGATGTGCAGCCGGCGATTGACAGGCAGTCTTTTTCTTTTTAGGAGGAGACAAGAACTAACTGAGGAAATGAGGATGATGAGGCAGAAATCATGAGACGATGGCAAGAACCTTCTTTGCATGTCAGATTCAAGGACATAAAGAGTCCACAGAACTGGAAATGAAAGAAGCAATGTTTTCAACTAACAATAGGTAATGTTGATTGTCGACCAGAAAAAAATCATAATTATGAAGTGCTGGCTGGCGTCAATGGGTTTTTTTTTGTTTTGTTTTTTTTGGTGATTGTGCCATTAGGTGCGACGCTTCCTGGAAGCGGGAAATCTTTGCCAAATGTTTCTGTTTTTTACGAATTGTAATGCTCGACTTCTCCAATTAAACTATTTTTTTTATAAAATGAAAGGTTTTGTCATTTTTGTTTGATTTGATATAGGAACGTATAATTATAATTTGCATTACAGGAGCAAAGGGATTAGAAGTTTGAACCCTTAACCTATGGTTTTTGCATTACAGGAGAAGAGGGATTTGAACCCGTAACCTACCTATGGTTTTGGAGACCATTTTTCTACCATGGGAACTATTGTCCTCACAAAGCAAAGTGTGGTTGGTTTATGGAGTTTGCACCTATTTGTGTGTATTTGGCCATTAGCCTACAAAAAAAAAGGAGCTTTCTTTTTGAA